CCCCAAAACCCCAAAACCCCAAAAGTATGAGTTTTAAAAATGTTGTAAATCATAAATCAAGAATAAAATAATAAATAATGATTGCAAAATATCAAATTCCTTTAATATAGTGAACCTTGAATTATTTGGTCATCATATCAAAACTGAGCAAATATCCATTTTAATCTAAGAACATCCAAGTCTTCTACTGCTCATAATATAGCTTGTTAGGAATATTTTGCTCAAATTAATATGTTCCCTCCAACTGGGCAAGAGGTTAATCAGCAAGTTTAATAGTTTTAGGTACTTTTCTGTATTAAGGATTCTGGATGTCGACCTAAAAATCAATCTAAATTTCTTGTATCTTAGTAACTTTATCCTATGATTTTTTAGTCACCTGAATACCTCCTAAAACATAAGGTCTCATATCCTACTTGGAATGCTCGTGAAAGAATATCATTGGATTCTGGAGTTCTTGATAATTACCGAGGGTAAGAGTTTTGAATGTAGCATTGGGGTCTTTTAAATCGATGTACTCAACGGTTGCAGATTCTGAGCCAAACATTATAAAGAGGAAGTCTTATAGAATAAATGAGAGGTGCTAAGTTCTTGGCTTTGATAATCTTGGAAAACTCTAGTCTTAGGTGAGTTTGACCAGGTTTTTCTATTCATCAATATCGATATTAAATCTGTAAGTAAGACTAGTAGCTATGTCTTTGATGTCATAATCTCCTCCTGTTATTATTAACTGGTTGCCATTATAAATTAATTTTGATGAACGATAGGGGAACTTTCCTTAGGCAAATTCAAACACATGCTTTTCAATGTCCTCATCTCTAACAAACTCATGAATATCTTTGCATTTCGGTAAGGTTCCGAATATCAAGTGTCTGATTTCTTATTATTTACTAAGATTGTTCATGACCTCAGCATGCAAGATGCCAAAACCATCCTTTACTTTCTTGATATATGGAGAATCTCTAAAAAATTTTTCCTAGCATTTGTAAAGTGGCTTAGTTCTGTCAAGATGAACCATTTTCAATTATTTGCGGTCTTCAAAGTAAAATAACGCATTTATCATTTCAAACTCAGTGATAGGAACAGCTTCACCTTCATCTGAGGAAGAATCTTACACTACTTACTTTGCTTTAGAGGCTTCTTTTATTGCTTTCTTAGCTTCCCTTTTCTTCTATTACTTTTTAATTGCTTTTTTACCCTTGATGAGCTAAGATTTTGTACTAAAAGCATCAATATTTGGCTTTTTCACTGGCTTTGATTGCTTTTTTGTTATACGATCAAATTCTTTCAATTAATCCTTGGTTAGTTTTACCTAATCAAAGGTTTTTTCATCATCGTCACTGCTGTTGAATGGATCATCAGAGTTCGAGGAACCCAACTTTTAGATAGGAGTAGAAAATTCATTAGCCTAAATATCTGTTTTAGCAACTTTAACTCTCTTTTTGCTCAAATTCTCTTGGCAAAATTACTGGAATTCTTCAAAATCAAATTCTCCTTCTCTTTTGATCATACTTTGTTTATTCTTTTAAGTTGATTGCTTAATTGGAGTAATTGTTTTTACTTTTGGATCTATCGACTATAACTATTTCTGCATTGTTTCTAGCTATTCATCTTATTAAATTTAGACAGTCTATTTCTTTGGAGTTATAGAAGCCTTGTCTGTTTTAGCTTTTGGCAGTTCAGCTTTTTCATTTTCTTCATTTTATTTAGATGATGAAGTTTTCTAATTAGTTGGTAGTGGGTTAGAAACGCTTTTATTTTCGGAGTTTTAAGTTATTTTTTAAATCTATTATTATTGCTCTTAAGGCTTCTCCTACACTATTTCTTTGGGTAAAGGCATTACTCTCTTTGAATTAATCTTAGAAGCAATAGTTGAAATTGAGGGATTTTATGGGTTTTGTACTGTTTATACTCTAGGTACTTCTTTTGGCATTTTTATCTAAATATTAGCTTGGCTTATTAGTTCATCCAACTTATGTTCTTTGCCTGATATACTTTCCTCAATTTAGAATCTATCTTATTTGTAAAATTTCATGAGTGTCTTAAACTTAGGCATTTCCTCCCTCATTTCATAATAAGAGTCTAATTTTTATAAGATCTTAATAAAGAACTTATCAATCTGATTTTTCATTTCACTGCTCAAAGTATTAAATTCTTCTTTGACTAAATTCATTTATATAAGACATTTATCTTGAAGTTTTTGCTGATTTTTAGAATCGTCTATCATAAACCCGCCATTATTCTCAAGAAGTTGAGGTATCTACTAGAGATTTAAGAATTAATGGTTTTCATCTAAAATACAAGGCATTACATTGAAATTTAAATTTACTGGTTAACTTTTCTAACATTTTTTATATCTATTTAATCTCAACGGACTCAGGAGCCCTTTAGGTATGCATGCTTTGATGATTCATTTAGGCGGTAAATTGATTAATACCAATTCTTATAATTTTAATATGATTAATAAATTTTCTTTTAATTATTTATTCTACTCTTTGAAGATATGTATACATGTAGGGGTTTTGGGGTTTTGGGG